GACTCCTGAACAATGGTAAGCTCTCTGCTTTTTATTAAATCATCATCATCATCATCATCATCATTTTTTCAGGGGACTGAGTCAGGAAAAAAAAGATGATAATGATGATCAATGGGTTGACTCATGAAGGTTAAGAAAATTCTTAAAGCAACCTCAGGTCTCTCTCTCTGCTCCCTGCAGAACCCTGAAAGACGTTGACCTGCTTTAATGAATAATAGAGAGGTGTGGTGCTTGTGTGAAGACTGAAGTGCTTCTTTTGATTTATTTTCAAAGCATCCATAAGGAGAGATATAGACAGACAGACAGACAAGGAAGAAGATATTTATCTTCAGTAATGATTAAAATTTCAAGTAAGATTTTATCATAATAATGGAAAAGGTGATAAGACATTTCTCAGGCACTTTCTCCGTTGTGTATTTGCTGGGTTAGCTGCTGTTGCAACTGGTGTTATTACTACAGCTACTACTAACTGCCCAGAAACAATTATTGTTCAACCACACAGGTTAAAAGGCAGAGTGGCCGTGCTTATTATATTGTTATAACAACCAGACTTCTTCTGGCAAACAAAGCAAAACTTGCCATTTTTCAACCATGTATATATGATTTCCAGTACCATTTACAAGATTCTTTTGCTGGAGCTGCTGCTTTAATAAATATGTGCTGATATTCAAAATGACTTCTTCAGGGGTTTAATTATTTAAATATGTTGACTTATGGTTTATTTTATCATCATCTCATACAACTGGACTAATTGCATTTATGCAGTTAATTTTGGCATGTGATTCACCTTTACAGTTTAATCTCTCACAGAAGATTTCTTTCTCTTTTCAGCTTTCTTGTCAGCTCTGTGCTCATCCAGCTTAGTGAGTCACATGGAGTATGTTACATTTCCCAGATATTACAAGAGTCATGGAAATATTCCAATGATGTAGACAGGATTAGTGCTGTCCCCAGATATTCCTTCTTCATTTTCCCCATTCTTATTCAAGTTGATAGAAAAGAATTTGAGTTTGCTATTTTCCCCCAAAGAAAAATGAAATGTGGGTAAAATTCATGCATGGAATTTTCTGGGTTCCTGCACTGCTGTAGTGACAAAGTGCCAATGAGTGTGTATTATTATCACTGTTTTGTTTATAACTGGACCTGGATCTTCATCTCACTGGTGATCTTCCCTGGCTTCTCATGCATTTGTTAAACTCAAGGAAGGAAGTCACTAGGACTTCTTCTGATTAGGAAACATGGGCATCTAGGAAGACTGAGAAGAAATTACTGGCTTCTTCCATCACTTGTAAACTTAAAATCAATGAGCACTTCAACGCTCCTACTGTTTGAACTGTGATGGCCTTCGCTTCTTTCGATCTGAAATATAAGAACAGGGAGTGAAAATCACTGCCTCCTCTGGATGTTGCAGGTGTTGAAGCAATAAAAATCCCTTCATTCTCATTCCACACAATGTGGAAAGAAACACTAGAGAGGGGAAAACACAGGATCCTGGCATATCACCTGCTGGCTACTCCAGGGCTGAAAAGAAGAGGAAACTGGCAAAACTCTTGTTAATTTGCTCTTCTGCTCTTTAGTTTGCGTTACTAGGGAGGGGATGCAAAAGTGTCAAAATAGCATTTCTCTTATAGGTCATGAAGATTATAAGGCAGCAAGAGTGAACAAGGGTTGTATTAAATCAATGTTTTTCAACCTGGGCAACTTTAAGATGTGCGGACTTCAACTCTGAGAATTCCCCAGCCAAAAATGGCTGGCTGGGGAATTTTAGGAATTGAAGTCCACACAAGTTAAAGTTGCCAAGATTGAAAAACATTGCATTAAATGTAAAAATAGAACCATATGGTCTCAAAGAACAGACAAGCAAATTTAGCTTTGTAGCAGTTGAAACTATATTACCTATATGAATCCTCCAATGTGGATGATGTCATAGGAACACAGAGGTCTGCTGCTATTGGTAGACAGGCTCAGAGTTCCCATTTGGAAGTGCACAGTGGGAAAAGAAATGTTTGTGTCCAATATGGTTGCACGTTGGAGGAGGGGGAAAAAGATACTTTCAGTTACTGAAGAGAAATACCCCAAGGTGCTTTTGGAGTAACCCTTAGTCCTGGGAAGATAATGCTGATATACAAGGCTGAGGAGAAGACTTTTGGTTCCTTTGAGGAATAGGAGGACCCGAAGAACATAATCTATAAAAGGTCATCCTTTGATGGTGGACAGTGAGTTTTCCATACTATACTTTTGGACAACTAGCAGAATTCAAGACCTATTTCGCTTGAGTGTATAGGAGTTTTACCACTTCCATAGAAGAAACTATAACTGCAGATGCAACTGAAGAAATATTCTATCCTTCATCCCAAGAGAAGCCAATAAATCTGACTGTTATTGAACATGGACTTTCTTCTCTTTTTTTTACAATTAGTTCAGTATATTGACAAGATTGAGTTCCCTACTCTTTCAGGCTAAAATCCATTGAATTTCTACATTTTTGTTTCTTTACTGATAATTGGTTATGGAGATGATATAGAAATGTGCAAAGTGAATTAAGAACATTTAAAATATTTTGGAAGAAATGTCTTGCATTACTATTATCACCCAACTTCTTTCTTTTCCCTGCTTCTGACATTAGATAGGAAAGTTCTTTGTAGAATCTTATTAAATATTGCCTGATTTTCTCCTCTTTCTTCCTCCAAGAATGGAGGAAGTCTCACCAATCTGTAAGTAAATATGCATTATCTACGCAAAAGCTTGCCTAATGTTATGGGTTCTTTTAAACTTCTTCAGAAGTTTCTTTGAGATAGGGAAAAAGAATTGAAGTGTCCATAGATCTTTTGTGCAGTAACAGGGCAGTAATATTTTCAAAGTTGAGCAATGTTCTGATTGATTCACACAGTCTGTTTCTTTATTTAATTGATTTATATGGACACCCATCTCACAGATGTGACTCTGGGCAGCTAACAAAAATGCAAGGAACAGTATCAACAAAGCATAAAAAACTACAATAATTGCTGAGAAAAAACACAATAAACACTCGGCAGAATAATATCATCTCATGGGCCATCTAATCTCCCAAACCCCGTGCTCTGGAGCACATCCAGGTCTTCAATGCTCTTTGCCATACGTGAAGAAGTTGTGCATTATTTTTATATCATTATGTGTTTTTTTTTTTTTTTTTTGCTTTACGTGCAAAGAAAAAACATCAGTGACATACTGGAGAGAAACAACTTTCTTTTTCCAATCTATTAAATGCTTCATTAAAAGAAAAAAGAACTTAAGGGCATTTACTGTAGATTCAAGTTTGGCATCTGCCTTTGGATATAATTTATGCTTCCTACAAAATGCAACCTTTGCAAACAACCCCTCACCAATAGTAAACTAATTATTGAAGAAACAGATCTACGATGTGCAGCCTGATGTAGAAGCATTAATCACTCTGTTCTGCATCTTGAGAAAACTGCCCTTCTGGCAAGGGGACAATGAGAAGCTTTCTGGAATTCATGCCGAAATCCACAAAACATGACGCTAATGTAATAGAACATGTTGCCCCAATGTCCCAGAATGAAGACATGAGGCTAGAGCGTAAGTTGAATGAAAGGCCACTGCTTTATTCATTAACTGAAAGGATCTAACGTGGAGTAAAAGATTAGCTGTACTGCTGTTGGGGCAACCTGATGCCCTCCAAATGTTTTTGATTACTGCTTCCACAGTCTCCTTGTTTCTGGCTGTGTTGGTTGGAGCTCACTGCAGTTAAAGTCTAAAACATCTCACCTGTCTTCAGAGGAGAGCTGATATCCACCTTGCCCAGATGAATCCAACATGCTCCTCCCTTGTGACTGCCTAACCCATTTTGCTATCCTAGACAAAGGACAACATGGTGTTTGGG